TTTTCAAGTTCTATAATTTTTTTTGGTAATGTAATATTTACTTGTGAGTGAAAGAAACTAATTTAATTAATCATGGATGAAAACAGCATGCAGTCCCTGACTTTTCCCTACTTTCTTCATTGTTTAGAAAGTATGTTTTCCCATGAATTGGAGAGCCAGGTGGCCACAGGTTGTTTACTAACAGTGAGTTCTCAAATCCATCCTGAAAAGGCCAGACCAGCCAAAATGCCCCAGCCTTAGGGAGGAATGCGTGTGTGCATGTGCTCCTGCCTCTCAACAAGCCTGCTCTTGCAGGGGGTGTCTACACCTTACTGAATGGAGGAGGAACAGATTCCTAAAGGGGGTGTGCCTCCTTACTCTTTCCCTCCTTTCAATCAGAGCCAGATAAACTTGGGAAAGAGCCCTCAAGGTTTGAGTGGGTATGTACTCCTCCACCCACCTCCTCCCTCCTCCCTCCACCTCCTCCCTCCTCCCTCCACTTCCCCCCTCCACCCCCTCCTCAGCTGTCGGTCTAAGTCTGGGGGCTTAGCTTTATGTTTCCATTGTGTCAAATCTGAGACAACAAAAGCTTTCAGTGATCCTTTTGATTTTGTTTTTGTGCAGATGTGAGCTTTGTTCTTGGAAGAAAACTGAGGTACACAGGTGTGGACCCAGGCTTTTTGTTGGGCTCATGTGTTAGCAGTTCTCAGACTTTTAAACTGGAGTTGTTTAGTGATAGAATTGAGCAGGAGAACCCAGATCTTGCACAGGGGAGACTTTAGCCACAGCCACAGCAAAACCAGGCAGGTGGATGGTTCAGTGAGAGGGGTCTGGCCTGGGGACTGAGGGAAGAGTCAGTGCTGGAGGTTGTATAGGGTGTGGCCTTGAAGAAAGGGGTGAACCCAAGGCTTGGGCTAACAGCTGAGCTTCCAGCAGAGAAGGGCCTCCCTTGGAATGCTAAAGCTGCTGTGGGGTCTTATGGGTGACTGGGAGGAGGAGGAGGACCAAAGCTTTCCATGAGGAGAAGGAAGGGCTGCCAGGAAGGGCAGAGAACAAAGTCTCAATGGGTCACATGCACACCACAGCCTGATACCCCACATGCACCGCCCCCCAGAGGTGTACATGGTTCAGAACAGGTGAGGGGAGGCTACTGGAGGCTGGAGGGCCTTTTCTAGGTGGCTTCTCCTAAAATCAGAAAAGCAGCCTTGTGTCTAAAGCTATTGAAACCTGTATATGTAACTTCATAGCTTTCAAACAGTTTTTGAAGAAAATGTGTTTATTTTTAATGTGTATCTGTGTGTGGCTGTGGGTGGGTCTGTGCACTCCAGTGCAGGTACCTGAAGAGACCAGAGGTGTCGAATCCCCTGGAGCTGAACTTAGCAGTTAGGAGCCACCCAGTGTGGGTGCTAAACTGAGTGCTGAAAGAGCAGTATGCCCTCCTAACCACTGAGCTATCTTCTTCAGCCCTAAAATTAAGCACATGATTCTCAAGAATTGAAAATCCGGTCATAGTTCTTGTATAGGACCTCAAAGGTTAATGCTAAAGGTCATGCAATCTTTCTAGAGACACCTGGTGTCCCCTGTAGGCCTTGGAGACTGTTCACAGTAGGATCATGGGGTAGAAGAAAACTACAAAATAAACATGGGAACCAGTGCTGCGCATTGGCCTTTTGGAGGAAACAGTTCGTTAGGACTCAGAAGGGTGGGTTGAGAAATAACGTGAAAGGCTTTCTAATGAAAAGACATGGTTAACTATTCTGTACATTCTGTACGCGGTCTACTGGTTACCCTGCATGCTCATCTGGGGGAGGGTTCAGGCAGAGTGCATACTTAAGGACAAAAGAGTGAGGAGGAGTAAGGAGAGAAGCCAGTAAATTAAATTTCTCTTGAGTAGCAGAAATTGGCACTTAAAATCCAGGTGTTCTTATGAACCCCTTGTTGATCTAGTGTGGGCCTCCAGATTTATGAATTTCGGTTTGCTTACAAGAGTTATCCAGGCATAAGCAGGTCTGGAGAGCACCAAGTGCAGAGAACAGTGGAATTCCTGGTAATGATTTTAAAACTGTGAGTTTAGCATAAATATTTTTCAGTTACTGTGGTATATCTTAAATTGATTTTTTTTTCCCCCTCCACTGTGCCTGGCCAGGCATGGCTCCCAGTTGAGTATTATGGTTGTCTGTATACAAATTGGTTTGTTTGTGTTTGTATCACATAAGGATTTCTCCCTCTTTTTGCCTTTAACTGGTATAATACCATTTTTGACATGTCCTGTGTAAAAACTTGGGAATATGCATGACACTATATGCTTGTGTGTGTGTGTGTGTGTGTGTGTGTGTGTGTGTGCAGAATAGTTAACCATGTCTTTTGTGTGGGGCCTCTACAGGTTTTTGTTGTTTTGTTTCAGTGAATTTTTTTTAAAGAATTCATGATTTTTTTCTTTTATTTTATTTTATTTTATGTTTATGCATGTATTGCCTGCATGTAGGTAAGTGCACATGTGTTGTGCAATGCCCGTGGAGGACAGAAGATACTGTTGGATCCCCTGGAACTGGAGTTATGGACAGTTGTTAGCTGCCATGTGGGGGC